ATAGAGGCAGAACAGTTTTCACAGTCTGACATGTGGAAGCGTTTTAATGGTAGTTATTGAACATTGTCCCAGTGGAAACCGGGTCAGTTAAGTGTCTTTTTTTCCAGACGAGTGGTCGCGGCCGATCTTCGGGTTGACGTCCAACTACAAGGGGATGACGAGAGAGGAGCGTCAGCAGAGAGATCTGGACCAGCAGATGCCTCAGAGACGACGACTGAGGTACGAACACGAGCTGAAACGACCTCCTCCTGACACGAAGGAAGAAGCTGTTTCTTGTTCTGACTCATCAGGAGGCTCGTGGACTCGCTGCGTCACAAATATCTGCATCAAAAGACCAACAAGTCTTTTATTCTGTGTCCTCTCCTGTTGTTGGGTCTTTTTTTATTATCTTCCTTTTCATTCTTTCATCACGTTATGTTTTTCCTTCCAGTCTTTCTCATCCTTCTGTTGTTGTTTCTGTTAAAGGGACAGTTCACCCCAAATATGTTTCCTCTCACCTGTAGTCTTATTTATCCTTCTAGGTAGTTTCATGTATTTTATTTCTGAACGTTAGCTACCCTAGTGGTTACGTTACAGCTCAAGCTGAGGAGGATTAATGTGAGGAGTCGGTAATTCATAGAAAGTTCAGAGGACCCAGGACGCTTCCCTGGGGGACTCCACAAACCCTTAAAGTAGTACTGCAACCTACACTGTAAGTTGAAATTGCCAGACGACTGCACGTACCTCAAGACAAGAACAATGTAAACCAGCAGGTGGAACTATAATCAAGGTAAATGCAGTTTATTTACCTCCGCTGGTCGCCGGGTGCAGCTTGAACCCTGCTAACACCTGCTTCCAGGTGTAGTTACTCTTGTTTGGGTCCTGCTATAACAGTGAAGTCTAAGGGGTAGATTGGAGCCGAAAACGAACAGCCCGACAGGTCGGAGGATAAATGTGCTTTAGATTTTGGGTTGAACTGCTCCTTTTTTAAGCTCTACGTTCACTCTTCTTCTTTCATTCCTCTTCATCCCTCCCTTCCATCCCTCCTCCTCCTCCTCAGTCAGCCTCCGAAGGTGGAGAGGGCGGAGGAACCCGACGTCTTCTCTCCACCCATCAGGTTCAGTCACAGAATTGCATGGTTGCACTGCAAGTCCTGCCTCTAGAGTTCTGGTTCGAACACAGACGTGATCCTGGTTGAATAAAGTCTGATACCGATTTCTTACATCAGTCTTTAAGTTATATTTGTCGTAACGTTTGGAGATCCCCTTTTCCTTCTGAGTAAATATGTTGATTTGTTTTGTAGAGGTAACTATCGATTAAAAACGAGGACAGACACATTCAATAGCTGAACGTTACATTTTGTTTCTCTGACACTTCCAACGCGTCCTGGAAAACCTGAATTTCCACTCATGGAAACACGTGGAAATCAATTAAAATGACCGAATATCCTGGAAAACTTGAATCGTATTTCATCCCCTCGCTCAGATCACATAAACGTATTAGTGCTAACATCATACATTTAACTAAAAACTGATGATGTGGAACGTTTTGATTTGTAGTCTGTAGAATCAGTACTTCGTTCTACTGCTGCCCTCCCTCCTCTTTAACGTACTGTACTGGCTGTACGAGCTCTCTAACACTGATTCATAGCAGCTTCGTCTCTGCTTCCCTCACGTCGTCGTTATTCAGTGTCTCCGTTGAGCGTTGGATCCGTCAGAGGTCGGTGTCGCTCACGCCGATCGGCAGCCTGATGGTGTTTGAGTCCCCGACCTGCACGAGTCAGGTGGACGTTCTCCCTCCTCGTGTTTCCCTGTGGAACGCGAGGAGGGAGTCGGTTGAGGTGTCGGGTGTTTCCAGAATCACTGACTAACTGCTGTGAGGTGGAGAATGCTAATAATAGCATGGAGGCTCCGCTGGGGGGGTTCAGTTCATGGTGATATAAATTAAATAAAGTCTCTCTCTCTCTCTCT